CCTATCAGTAACTGTGAACGTTCTCTAAAACATGCTGAGAAAGACAGCAATCAAGATAGTGATACAAAAACGTTGTTCTGCCATTCCAAAATCAGCATTAGGATAAACCAAATATTCTACAGCCTGTGATAACAAATTTATTAACCTCTACTATACAATAGTCACACTTGTGCACAGTTAACTGACAGTTGTTGAGAGACTCCAGATACTTCTTGGACCTTTTTTTTAGGGAGTGATTCCTCTTTATAATAGATGTATAAAAGTGAAATGTTGTAACTATTTACTGCATGCAAGTCATCTTTGTTAGTGTCATGTAATCTTATGCAGTAACTTATCTCTGCAAGAATACATTTGAACTCATTGTTCAATTAATGCCTCTCTTTAGTTGAGGGCCAGCCTGATGACTGCATTAACCACCTCACAGGAATGTAGGATAAAATTTTCAGTAACTTCTTGGCAAACACAGTTCTCTATTGGCAAGGCAAATTAACATATTAAGATGGGCACTTTGGCCCAGTTTGGTGCATGTTAGCCTACTATATCCTTCAGTTGACTGTATCACAACTATAGTGCTAGTTTTGTTTTCTGAAATGCGTGTCTACAAGGCTAATTGGGTCTGTCCCTGATTACAGGAACTTCCTTAAGTTAGTCACAATTGTCTTTAATTCAGCCAGTATAATCAATTCAGTATGATAACCAGAACTGAATCTGATGTGTCAAGCAACCTTCTCTTTATGGCAAACAGGATAAAGGAAAGATACAGAAAAATAATCAGAACAAAACTGCAGAAAGAATATAAGATCAAGCAAAAAGTGCAGCCTTCTTGAGCTGTATTACACTTCATCAATTGTTGAATTTTAGCAGACCAATTTACATTTTATTCACAAGGATCAGAAAGTATTTCAGAGTGTACACACATAAAGCAGTACTGTAAGAATATTTCCTTTCGATGGCAGCAAGCAATTAATCAATGTGGTAAGACAAGTGTGCGTGGAGAAGGAAAGAGTGCTTTGGACAAGGACACAGTAAACCTTTCATGTCCTGCACAGTGACATGGCATTTTAAACACCTAAAGAAGAAGATGATATCCTCCTTCCCTCCCCCCCCTTTTTTTAAGATCTTCCTGGAAACAAACAAGAACTATTTATTTGTTTTTCTGAGAGATGAAAGCCCAGTTCTTGTACTTCTCCACCCCTAACACCAAGCCGAATTGGCTGAAATCTCTGAAGATTAGACCAAATGAGCCAAGCAATAGCAAAAATGAGTAGGGTTTTTCACTCAGTTTATTGGCTGGACAAGTGGCAGGACTGACATATATCAGAGGGAAAACCCAGTGTAGCTGAGGACTGGGAACTGAGAAGGTCTTTGAGGCTAATTCTGTAATAATGAGATATAAGAGGAGATTACTTGCCTTGATACCAGGTACTGACAACAGATGCATTCCTGAGGAGCTGGCAGCTGTGTAATTTATGGCAGCCTAAAAGTACTCTGCAACTCACAGGGTTTTGGGACAGTATCCTACAAAGCGGGTGGCAATCAGGTGATGAAATCATAGTATGTGCTGTAAGGTTTTATCACAACTACACACAATATATCACACAGATACAGTTTCTACATCTATTTCACGTACCTAAAGATCACCACTTACACTGTATTTTTGTTGACATTATCTTCACTGAGACATAAAGTAAGTCCTTCCTCACTGATCCTTCCCCTTTACCCTCTGCAACAGCAAAAGAAAATCAGGAACCATTAACTCGAGTCCTTGCTTAAGCAAACTGTTTGGACTTCAGAAATCTTACTTAAAACTGTTGCAATCACACACCAAAGAACAAACTAATTTTTGCAACTGACCTGAAATTCTAGTTCTTCAAATAATGAAGATTTGAGATCCACTGACTGCTGATCAGATACAAGACATGAAAAGCAACATGTAGGCATCTTTCCGTGATTCCTATCATGACATAGGTGAACGTAAAGGTCAAAGAAAGTCTGGTTTTGCAGTACTACTGCAAACAGGCAAAATGCTTCAGAAGTTCACCTTACCACCTACAAATTCTGAGAGTTTTCTGTTAGTGAGATACAGGCTATTATTTCTTTCCCCTCATGCTTCCAAGTTTCCATAGTGAACAAATCAAAACCCCCTTCTACTAATGCCATCTCCACTGTAACAAATCTTACATGTGTTTTGAACGTTGTGACTGTAATCTTCTGGAAAATTTAATATTTAGACAATGATGACAGAGCATGTGTAATTAAAAAGTAATTATGGGATAATACAACATTTATCATAATAAGCATTATGGGAGAAAAACAAGCCCAAATAATGTTTCAGAAAAGCTAAATTTCAAGGAATTAAGATACTATAGTACGAAGTTATGGCCAAAAATACTGTATTTTTAACCAGCAATATTTCTGAGGGGCAGTAACTGTACAATATTAGTTTTCAAAAACCCTATTTCTGTCCCTCAAACAACACACAATACATGCATTTAAATGACACTTTAAGAACAGCAAATATGATCTTTATTTTTAAATACTGTTTAAAAACATATCTGATACCCCACCCTGAAGAAAAAAAACATAAAATTGGTCAAATAAGGATTTCCTGTAGCACAGTAAATGAGGAATTCAGCAACAGACTTCATCTTAGACTATTTTGAGAGAAAAAACCCAAACCAACAGATTTATAGTAAGACTGATCTGGCTGACTTTCCATTTTTCACACTGTCCTCAAAATCTCCCTCTACTCCATTCTTCCGTGCAGCATGGCTACTGTGAAAAAGCTTAAGTGAAACTTACAGTAAAATCCGTTTACCTAGCTAAAGAGTGACCCTCAATGCATTGTTTACTATACAGAAATGTTTCTGGTTTGACTGATGAACTCAAAATGTTATGGCTAACCAAGAGCCAAGAAAGAGGAAGTATCAGTAGCTCCTCTTAAAACTAAGCATATAGTTTTTGCAAGATCCCCACTAAACTCACAAACTGGACAGGGACAGATGGCTTTACATGTTTAATGCATTTAAGAATTTATGGTTTATGTCAGGAAAGGGACTGTATTTACAAAAGTGTGAACTTCTAAAAACCATAGTTAATTACCTACACCACGACATTTTAACTTCCTAACTTATGACAGCCTCCCTAAAATGTATTTACTCTACTGGTCTCTTAGCTAGAGGTAGGTCATTTTTAGGCCTTGTTAATATGCTGTGCACACTTCATTAGTTCACTAATGTATTAGTCTGCAGGACTACCATGCACAGAGCTCCAAGAACAGCAGCACATATAATAAATTAATTGGCTAATTTTTATTTTTTCACGTGGGTTAACATGTCTTTATTTTCTCCTGATATTTCATTCTTTTGTGAAGGATGTGTTAAAAAGGAAAGGGTCATGAGGCTGAATAATCTGAAAGTCTTCTGAACCTTACAAACAAATGCTGAGAGTCCAGCAATGCAGCCCTTTCTCCCCATTTAGAGTTTTAGCAAATCATGCAGTCAGTTCTGACTGATATCCAGCATAAAGAGTCTCTTCTCCACTTTCAAACTTTAAAAAGTGACTCGTAATCATGTGGCAGTATGATTAAAAACTACAGTCCATACACCTTGACAATCAAAAGAGTCTGAATTATAAAAAGTAAACTGCCCTTATAGCTGCATCATCCTATATATGCAAGGACAGTGCCAGTTAATTTGTGAAAAAGGCAAGTTTAAAGTTTCTGTAAAACACGTATTACAGCTTTCTTGTGCTAGTGAACATCTAGAATACACAGGTTCCCAAGACATTTTCCTTCTCCCCCATATATGACATTCAAAGAAATCACTTAATTTTGGCAAAGTTAAAAGGATTTCTGTCTTGATATTTCTGCCTTAGCTTCATATTAGAGGCACAAACTTCTGGACTCAAGCACTGTAAGGCATAGTAGAAACCACCAATTAAAACAACAGCACCACTACCACAACTGAATACACTGCAGGTGGGAACAGCTGCGTCATTTAAAAAGGAAATGTTTTTGTAAACTGTCACACTGCAATGCTGTGTTAGGTGATTTATGTAAAGCTTGCCTATTTGTTTTTTTTGTGTTTTTTTTTTTTTCTTCCAGAACATGCTCAAATGATCTAAACATTGCTACAAATTTGACTTATCTAAAACATACCATAAGTAGCCCAGTGGCACACACTCTTAAAAATTTTTGCAATCACAATGTAACTATAAAGCATGAGTAAACTTCTGTTTTGTTTTTATACAAAACTTAGAACCACATTTCCTTCTCCCTCACCCAATATCCCATAACAAAATGAAACAAACTAAAAATCCCCAAACAAACCCAAACCTTAGTAAGACACCACCGTCTGGGGTTCTTTTGTTTGTCTGAGTTGGGTGTTGTGTGTGTGTGTGTATGTTCCTTTTTTTTTTCTTCTTTGGATACAGTTCCTAAATTAAAACAAGGGGTATTATCAACAGTGGAACTGTGCGAACAGAAACTCTGTTGCATTTATAGCAAGATCAGGACCGATTTTGTTACGCTGTATATGTAGAGTCACTGTTCTGATCCCCTATTCAGAATGTCAGTGTCATTTTTTATAACCTAGACATAGCTGCTTTAGCTTTGTTAAGTAAAATGCTTTAACTCATTAAAATCATTAACAATAGTGACTTTCTGGATGTTGTTGTTGTATTTAAGTTTTCTGCAGTTTCTGAAAAGACTGATTGTTGATGTTTTGTATTTTTTCATGATATTTTTAGGGTAACAGCATACACTTCATTAGTACTTCTGTACAATGATTTCGAAATATTTCTAAATTTACTTTTCTAATAAAGCTGATTAGAAAAGTAAAAATAACCTAATGTGAATCTGCCAAATATAAATTAAATTTGCATCTAAAAGCTTATGCTCCGATCCTAGACATAACAACAAAAGTTCTAGTAAGACTGGTTTCTACATCTATATAAAGCCCTGACAAGATTTAAGCATTATTCAGAATGCAAATGGCCTCTGACTTGGTGTCTTCAATTTAGTTCTACTCAGGAATGTGCAAATGATTTTATACAGCACGATGCTAGTACCGCTCTCTACTATAGTTTTTTTTTTGTAAATAAAAAACAACAACAAATCCCTAGTCAGAAATAAACTGACAAAATTTACATTCTTCTCTCTTAAAAAAGTAAATAAAATAACATTATTTAAAATGTGAATTAGCTATAAGACATACAATTACATAGATACATATCAATACAGCACATTCAATTTGCCGAAAATTAATGATTACAAAGCCAATATGGATGCCACCATATATATATATAGATGTATGTACAATGATTATAGCATTCATAATTGCACTATACCTACAACCAGTTTTAAATTACAAGGTGTTTTAAGAGGGAGCAAAAAATAACAACTGTTCTTATTATTGTTGGTTTAGATTTGGGAGGATTAAGGATTAAAAAAGGTCTCATTAGTATTTATTGTTCAACTTCGGTGATTGATTAATAAGCCATTCTTTTTTCCACCTCCCATCTGCTGCTATGAGGCAGCAACTTCTGTGTTAAGTGCACTCTAGTGCTACTTGTCATAGCAGATAATCAACCCAATTATATGTCTGAGCTTCGAGTTTTCTATTGCTTGCTAGCAATCGTGCGCACCTGGTCAAAAAACACCTTTCAATCTAAGCTGCAGAATAAAGGATCATCACTCACTGTGTGCTGCACTTTTTGTTGTTAAGAAAATTGCACATTTAAATTTCAAGACTGATTTTGTTTCATTTACGTTAATAAATCTTTTCTAAAGAATGTTGAGAGAGGCTATTTTGCATGAAAGCCCATCAAATGTCTGCAAATCAGTTAGTTAACATGCAACCTTATCAAGAAAGGATCCTGAATGTGATTTCTCATCAGTGATTTCTTGTTATACAGCTAAAGGTGCCTTGATATTATTAAATAAAACAATCTCATGTCATACCTGACATAAGGATTTAAACTGTCTTTAAATTAGTAGACCACACGGATGTGCATGGTGCACCTTGTAGCATATTCACTCACACTTTTGGTTTTGGCATTAGAAAATAGAACAACTTCTAAAAGAGGGAACATGAGAGCTGAAACTATGTTTGTTTATCATTTGGCAGTTGACTCAATCAGGTCAGTTCCCAACCCATCAGTTTGGCATTTCAATCTGTATCTTATGTTTCAAGAGTATTGTTTTTATAAAAAGCCAGATTTGGCAACATTAAACAATAAAAGTAATTTTTCTATTGTGGAAAAAGAACACTTAAAAAAGTTCTAACTTAAGAAAAAAACCCCACACAACTGAAAAAAAAACCCCAACAAATCACCCCACTGTTTCAGGCTGTAGCCACTGGGGAAGATGTAGTGTCTATGACATTTCTATTTGGCATTTGTGAATCAAAGAAGAAAAAGAAATGGCACATGGCAAACAAAAAGATTCTAACATACTACACATATACATCCCAGGTGTGTCTTAATTATGTCATTACTGTCTCCTATGCATCTTTCTGAACTGTGAAAATATGGTTAAATTTAGTATCTTAGATAACTGTAATCCTATTTTGCAATTCAAATATTCTAGTCCCAAAACTGAAGACAGAATTAAGACACCCCTGTCAAGAATTTAAAAATCACAGTATCAGTACTTTTGATCCTTCAGATAAAGTACATACTATAAAATTAGAATGACTGATGATTTCAATTCATATGATAGTATTTTCCTGACCAAATAATTCAACAGAAAATATTCCACCTAGGAATGCAGGGAAAAAAAAAAGGCCACTGTACCTTGTAAAAGATAAGAGGGAGAGGAAAGAGGGAGAGAGAAAGGGTCAGGGAAAGAGGAAACCAGCTTGATTTTGCATCATTAGCAAAACCTGCTATTCTTTATAATGTATGACTGAGAATTTAAAACACATTGAGTCACAAGGTTTTGCCTAAAAAATGAGGAATGTGCCGTGAATGTACTTCAGCATCTTTTGTTTTTCCTCCATATAGTTTAAATTAAAATCATAATATTAACTACAAACTCTGTGGACATTCACAGAGTCCAGGCCAGCAATAAATTAGTATTATGCAAATTGTTTTCACAGATAATACAGTCCCTCTTGTATATCTTCAATCACACAAACGTCGTTTCGGAGGGCCTCCTAGACACAGTTAGACCAGATTGTACTCCTTCAGGTTTAACTGTAGGATTGTGTCCTTGACAGCAGCAAAGACGAAGCGGATATTCTCTGTGTCTGTAGCGCATGTGAAGTGGGAGTATATAATTTTGTCACTGTCTGGGTTCAGGTCTACAAACATCTTCAGGATGAACTCTCGTGCCGCTTGTGCATCCCGTTGTGGTCCTAATAATTAGGAAGAGAAAGTCACTTTCCTTAGAGACAATTCAGTACTTGAACCTCTTTTAACAGAAAAACAAGAAAGGCTCAGTCTGTAATCCTCATGTAAGAGGGCTAATCAATAGCACCATACACTAGCTACTTTCTTCCTGGTAGGAATTATGAAAAATAAAGATGGATGGAAATTTCATAAATTCTATCAAGTTAGAGCTATCATGTCAAAGGTGCTCTTTCGCTGACAACTATCCTCTTTCTTTGATAACATTTAAAACGGGGAATTTAAAACTGCACAGAATGAAAACAGAGAAATTAGCTACACTAGTAAATCTTTAAAAAAAATGTTAACATAATTGGTAAATGTTCAGTCTATGTGTACTATATTTAAATTATACTTCAGTTATTTTAGCATGGTAACACTTACTAGTTCTGTAAGTATTTTAATAGGTAGTATAATGAAGTTAGATCCTGAACTGTTCTGACACTGCTACCATCAGAATTTAATTTATTTTAGTGGTAATAAAATACACATGCTCTCCAAATCACTTGTTATCTACATTATGTATGATAATAATCCTATCAGATCTAAATTAACGTTGTAACTCTCAGAAGAACAGAACTAAACCCCATGTTCAGCTTTACAGAAGAGAGAAGGTAAAGTAATGACTTCCAGCCTGGAACAGTAAGGATTCATTTACATTCACAGCCAAAAGAGCAGTGCAAAAGCAAGAACATAAGACACAAGCTGTTGAATTCTGTTCCATTATTCCAAACTACTTTTGAAGGCCATTATTCCCTTGCTCTTCTATTTCTGGAAGTTGTGTTTCTACAGAACATGCATGTTTTCTGTGTTGCTTCCCCCCATTCTCTTCCTTATTCCTGTCATTACATGGTAATCCCTGCACTCAACCCTTGTAGGTAGCTCTGTCCTTCAGTGCTTATGAAATCTGTACTCTGGGGGGTTAGCACATGCCCACATAGTTTTCAACTGCATGATAACCTAACTTTAATACTTCAAGATTACAAATTGCTAACATTTCAATTTAGGTAACAATAAAATTTATGTAGGGAATGCATTGAAATAATGTAATTTCTGGTGTGCTGCAAATGCATGTAGAGGTATGCACATGGACACATGTACACATATATGAACATACATACATATATACAGATAACATATTTCCTGAGATTTGGAGATGTAAACAGATCATAAGCTCTCCAGGAGAATGTTCAATGCTTCTACAGCTTCTAACACACAACAGACTCTAGCCTTTGGCTTGGTCACCCAGCTGTACAGAAAGAGCAGCAATGATAAGTTTCACACTACCATGATTAAATTTGCAGTATTTGTGAAGGAAACTCTAAGACTTTCAAATATACTGATTTCTTCAAAGTTAACCACTTACTATTTTAAACAACCTCCTAGAATTTTCAGCTTCATGGCAGTAGCTAGACACGGCCCTCTCTCAAAGACTATATCCAAACTTACTTATCTAATCAGATCTCCACTGACTATAATGTAATTTAAATTTGTGTTTGTCTGAAGTTCAAGAATGGAAAACTGAGGTTTAAAAATACATTTAATACCTCAGGAATTCAGAAAAAAATTGAATGAATCAATGTTGAATTTAGACTGCAGAGTGGTTCTGATCTGCAGACTTTGCTTCCCCTTAAACAGGAATACGTCTCCTATTTGAACGTAAGAGATTTACTCTTTTATTCAGCTTTGAAATATGCTATTCACTCTTCGGTGGGACAAAAGATGTTTATTTATTTATTTTTTCAATAGGAGAATTTAGTTCCTTAGACCCCTAATTATATGAGTTTGATTTCTCTGTTACCAAGACTACCACTCAGTTACCTTACAATAGTTATAGGTTTTTACCTCAGGAAAACTTTCTTAAAGTACAGGTTTAGTAGAAACTGCTGTACAAACCACAAAACTTTTTACAGACAAGCATATGAAGCTTCACATAAATAATGTAAAACTGAAATACAGGAAACAAAGAGGTACAATAAAAGGGTGGAAGGTGTGGTACTGGTTTTTCTGAGTGGCACACATAATTTTTTCTTTATTTTTTATTTTTTTAGCTTTTATACTTCAGTCTAAACCTTCACCCCAATTTTTAAAATGAAATCCTATCAGTCTATAAAATCCCACAAAAGCTCAATCATATTTTAAAAATTTAGATTATTAAAAACTGCAAAGCAGCTTTTTTTTTTTTTTTTTTTTTTTAAGTGTAAAATGAGCCAGCTTCAGTGTGCGCTCACAGCCCAGAAAGCCAACCGTATCCTGGGCTGCATCAAAAGGAGTGTGACCAGCAGGTCAAAGGAGGTGATCCTGCCCCTCTACTCTGCTCTCGTGAGACCTCACTTGGAGTATTGTGTGCAGTTCTGGTGTCCTCAACATTAAAAGGACACGGAACTGTTGGAACAAATCCAGAGAAGGGCCACAAGAATGATCAGGGGACTGGAGCACCTCCCATATGAAGACAGGCTGAGAAAGTTGGGGCTGTTCAGCCTGGAGAAGAGAAGGCTGCGTGGAGACCTCATAGCAGCCTTCCAGTATCTGAAGGGGGCCTATAGGGATGCTGGGGAGGGACTCTTCATTAGGGACTGTAGTGATAGGACAAGGGGTAATGGGTTCAAACTTAAACAGGGGAAGTTTAGACTGGATATAAGGAGGAAATTCTTTCCTGTTAGGGTGGTGAGGCACTGGAATAGGTTGTCCAGGGAGGTTGTGAATGCTCCATCCCTGGCAGTGTTCAAGGCCAGGTTGGACAGAGCCTTGGGTGATATGGTTTAGAGTGAGGTGTCCCGGCCCATGGCAGGGGGGTTGGAACTTGATGATTTTAAGGTCCTTTTCAACCCTAACTATTCTATGATTCTATGATTGTAAATATATTAAATTATCGATGTGTCTAGCATTTAGACAAGGCTATTACAATTCCTCATTACTGCAGTGTAAATAGAGCATGAGCTCTGATGTCTTTATACTTACCATCATACTCTGGAAAATAATCAACTAGGTGGGAATACATAATTTTCTCCTCTAAGAGATCTTTTTTATTTAAGAACAGAATGACTGAAGAGTTCTGGAACCATGGATATGTGATAATTGTCCTAAAGAGTGCTTTGCTTTCTTCCATTCGATTCTGGAATAGAAAAGAGAGTGGAATTTTGGTGGACATGAAAATACTTTTTTGAAAAATAAATCAGTGCAATTTCACTTTATTTGGTAAATTTATCCATTTCATGTTTTGCATCTTCCTACCAGTATGTAGTGTTCACATAATTAAATTACAATTAGAAGGCAAGAAGTTAATTAAACACACAGGCATAATTTTTGCAAATTTAACTGCTCAAGTATAAGTGTTCTTTAAAACACAGACTATGTACATGAAAGCTGTAACAGGTGCATTTGTAAAGTCTCAGTTTGCACAGCTATGATCAGATCAGCTTTAAAATAGCTGCAAGTAAATTTGGAACCTGAGAACTGTTTGTTAACAGCAAAATCTTAAAAATCTGTGAATTGCTAATTTTTTCCTATCATTGGGTTAGCCTTTAATTACTTAACTGCTCCTGAAAATACTTTGCATTATAGCTGAAATGTTAAGTGAAACTACCGTTCTCTTTGTAACACTTTTCTGTCATTGTAAAATTAAGTTAGAATTTGATAACAGTTCTGAGGAACTGTTATGCTGACATGATGTCGTTAGTACAGAGAACAGACGGAGCTCAAAACAAAGGAATTACCTTACTCTTTTTATTATTATTTAGAGCTGCAGCCCCCAGAAAAATACTGCTTCACCACCCAACTGTGCTCCAGAGAACAGCAAGAAGGTGGATCACAGAATCATAGATAACTGTTAAGTAGATCTTTACTTGCACTGATTTGTATTTTGAAGAGACCAACATAAACATGAACTTCAAACCAAACAAAAACAACAACAACAAAAAAATCAACAAAAAAACCTAAACTCAAAACAAACAAACAAACAATAAAAAAACCAAAAACAACCCCAAAAGAAACCAACAAACCAAACCAACCAAAAAAAAAAAATAATCTGTTTTGTAGCCAAAGATTATTATCTGGTCTCTTACATCACCACAGGATCTTCAATTTCTTAAACTTTAGTTCATGCTGGTACAGGGTGTCCAAATATGTTGATAGATTTGAGAAACTAATGAAAAGGAGTAAAACCTTTGCTTTCTTGCAGTGATCAATAACTCACATTGATTTCAATGGTGCCAGGATTTCATTCAGAAAAGAGAAAAACCAAAATGTCAAGAAAGCTGAGCATAAAGCCTAAGTCCTGAGACTAACTGTTAATCAGGCTGTTTTCTTCTCAACGTTCCAGATAAACTTCTTTCTCTAAACAAGGCCTTACAGAACAGCAATGGGAACTATACAGGATAGCTTTCACTTTCACAGCTTGATGCAGAAGAGAAGGCAATGTAAATTTACAAACTACTGTTTAGGTTATATTTACCTAAACTAATTAACACTTGGTTTCTTCTAATGTGACACTTAGAAGGTAGAAAAGCAATAGCAGCATTCTTTCACAGTAAATTCATAAGCTAATGAAAACCTTGCAGTAAGCAAAGTTCACACCAAACACAAACAAATTATTTATCTGAAGTAAATGTTCCTGTTTTTCACAAAAAACCTCGATACAACAGTCCTATTTTCATCTGTAACTCTGCTGGGTCATTTTTTTCCCCATATATGTAACACAGAATTACAAAGACAAAATAAATCTATTTGGACACATTTATGACCCTTCCTCTAGGAAAGCTCTAGAAAATTGTCATCCCAACATTGTTACTGGACCCAGAATACATTTTCATTTTTTGCTATTTTAAAGGTATACCAACAAGACAAAGCAGAAAAGGCATGCAGACTAAAGCAACAGTGACACATTCTTAAAGGAGACCTACAGAAATGAAGAAAAAAATATTGTCTTCAATGTAAGAAGAGTATGTCTTGCATTATATACTAATGATGAATTCTGTATAATATGAATTGCATTCCAGAGAGTCGCTTTTTTACAGATTTATAAATGTCTCTCAAGTCCTTTGAGACTTGAATTGAGGAATCTGACTTAAACCTCTCCTTGCTGACATATCTCCTAAGGATTCCACTCAGACAGGTAAGAGATGAAGCAGGTTTTCATGACTTCAAAGAATAGTTCAAGTAATTAAAAACCAGTCTGGGATGCTGAAAAGGGATACTGTTAAGAAGGCAGCGTAAAAGAGCAGAAAAAATTAATGTTATAACAAAGGAAATAATTACAACCTTCAGGAATTTTCCAAAGTGGTCAATATATGCAGTCTAACTGAAGGAAACTCACCTGCTTTGGAAAAAATACATAGTTCAGGGTGTCAGTAACTGAAGTCAATAAAACACTACCAGACTATTTCACCCTCATTCACTTCACTGTACTGTTTAATATAATTTCATGCAGAAGCCACCTTCCTCCAAGTGTCATCCAGTTAACTGTATTTCCAGAAAGACCCAGGCTAAGTCTGAATCTATTCCTGATTCTGAGAGAATAGGCTTTGAAGAGGCAACAGGCTGTTGCCCTTGCTGATTTTGTATTAAATTAGCCAGTCATAAACAAAATTAACTGAAATTCAGAGACTTGTGTGAAATTACAAAAAATGAACATTATATTGCAAGAGCCCACTGAAGTAGAATTACTTCTTATGGTGTAAGGATCTTGCCCTGTATTGTCATATCAGATGAGGCTATTGGGAATTTAAGACATTAAGGTCTGTGCACCAAATGGTAGCTCTGAAGGAACACTATCTTGGCGCAGGGATTATCTCAGAGTGGAACCACCACAGAACAGCCCTTACGCACCTCCAATTGCAGAACAAAGCAAACAGCAGGGACAAGACATCAAGAAGGCTGCAGACATGTTTTCTAAGGAGCTGGCAAAAGATGGCAAGCTGTCTAAATCAGTTAAGATCACTCTCCTTAAAATCCATAATTGACAAGTCTATGAATTTTCATGATGCTTCTCAAGGAAAGAAAACCAAACAAGCACACAACGCTAATGTTCTGTCCGTGTAACAGAAGCCTGGAAAAAAGACTTAGGGTATCATTGTTTTTCTCCTCTGAACATATGTCACATTGCAACACTCCACAGACTTACTTCAGAGAAGACACAGGTAATAAGATTTTAATTTTAAATCTGAATTTTAAAAGATCAGATCAGTTAATTCAAGGGATTCAATGCAAATTTCATATAATTTCTATATTTAACAAGTGTCTTTCAAAGCTTCCTAAAGATATTAAGTACCGAGTACACTCGGTGGATAAAGAACTGGCTGGAAGGGTGCATACAAAGAGTTGTGGTCAATGGCTCAATGTCCAGCTGGAGACCAGTAACAAGTGGTGTCCCTCAGGGATCAGTGTTGGGACCGGTCTTATTTAACATCTTCATCGCTGACATGGACAGTGGGATTGAGTGCACCCTCAGCAAGTTTGCCGATGACACAAGCTGTGCGGTTTGGCTGATACGCTGCAGGGAAGGAATGCCATCCAGACGGACCCTGACATGCTTGTGAGGTGGGCTGATGCCAACCTCATGAAGTTTAACCATGCCAAGTGCAAGGTCCTACAGCTGAGTCGCAGCAATCCCAGGCACAGCTACAGGCTGGGCAGAGAAGAGATTCTGAGCAGCCCTGTGGAGAAGGACTTGAGTGTGCTGGTCGATGAGAAAATGAACATGAGCAGACAGTGTGCGCTTGCAGCCCAGAAAGCCAACTGTATCCTGGGCTGCATCAAAAGGAGTGTGACCAGAAGACTGAAGAAGGTGATCCTGCCCCTGTACTCTGTTTTCGTGAGACCCGATTTGCAGTACTGTGTGCAGTTCTGGTGTCCTCGACATAAAAAGAACATGGATCTGTTGGAACAAGTCCAGAACAAGGCCATGAGAATGATCAGGGGACTGGAGCACCTCCTGTATGAAGAGAGGCTGAGAAAGTTGGGGCTGTTCAGCCTGGAGAAGAGAAGGCTGCGTGGAGACCTCATAGCAGCCTTCCATTATCTGAAAGGGGGCTATAAGGATGCTGAGGAGGGACACTTCATTAGGGACTGTAGTGACAGGACAAGGGGTAATGGATTAAAACTTAAACAGGGCAAGTTTAGATTGTACATAAGAAGGAAGCTCTTTACAGTGAAAGTGGTAAGGCACTGGAATGGGCTGCCCAGGGAAGTTGTGAATGCTCCATCCCTGGTGGTGTTCAAGGTTGGACAGAGCCTTGGGTGAGATGGTTTAGTGTGAGGAGTCCCTGCCCATGGTATTGGGGTTGGAACTAGATGATCTTAAGGTCCTTTCCAACCATAACTATTCTACGATTCTATTTGACTGTTGCCTTTAATATGATGCAATGCTTATGTATGAAACAATTTCACATTACAGTGTTTTTACTGGATAGGGACAGCATGACAAGGAGTACAGAAAAAGTTCAGCATTGGGGATCTGACCTTCTGTCAGATGCAATGCGAAGAAAGCCTTGCCAAGCCAAGCAAGACAGTGCGGCTCTTAGAAAAGAGGACAAGAACAGTGGGGAGCAGGCAGTATTTAACAGTTTGTTCAAGCACTCAATCTGATTTTATGAGCCAGCTCTACTTCACCAAATTGCTTCCAGGAAAACCTTATTTAAACTTCAATGGCAAAGGCTGCAAAAAGAAACTTGTGAATTACTAACGTACAGGAATGTACAGCTGGAGCTGGCTCAAGGCACTCGTAAGTAGCTGACAGCCATTCTCAGAAGTGATGCCAACCTTCTCAGCAACTCCCTTCTGAGAGCAGCAACAAGCTCACCATGGCACCCCTGGCTTTGCAGGCAGCTGGCACAAGGAAAATGAGCACAGGATCATTGCTTTCACCACCCTTCAAAATCTGCTTGCCTGAGAAACTTCCCTACTCTGCTTGTCTGCAGTCAGTCCTAAATTGCATACTGGTGTTACCAGCCATTTCTCCATTTTCCTCCTTATGACATAGAGATGCCAGCATAAAATTCTCCCATTCTCCACACAAACTGCCATAAATATAACTAGACACAAAACCCAGCTTTTGTCACATTTTATTTCCAAATGCAAACTTTTCCTCATTTAAAAAAAGAGTATATTTCTTTCTAC